CTAGCAAAGTATCATAATAGTGAAATAATTTGAATTCTTATTTTATACCTAAATCATTCGGACTTGTGAATAATTTTATGATTAATGTTAAATTTTTTCGACATAGGTTGGGCGCCGTGACTGAGCACTGTTGTGATGCACACTGACCCCCCCCCCCCAGAAGAGTCTCAGTGTCAATTTACTCAGGGCTGTTAGTCTTTGCTTTATGAAAATTAGAAGAATTTAAGTACTTTACCAGTAATTTAAGATAATTTTGAAATTCAATATTATGTAATTTTCTTTTTTTCTTTTCTTTTCTTTTTTTTTTTTTTTAAGTTTTTGATACATTTTCCATCTTGTCTTTAGGGGCGAATTCAAGTGCAACGCTTGTCATGGTAATCGCACTTGCATTGCAAAACCGAATTCAAGTGCAACGCTTTTCGGACACGCCTACTGAAAATACGTCACTACCATAGAGGAATTTTGCGGCTACTCCTGACCTGCAGCAAACTCTTAACAGCGACTGTAAACAAGATGGCTGAAGTGATTTTCCTCAGACGTTTAAGAAATCGGAGAAATGCTGATCAAATTCCTTGGCATTTAAGAGACAGTCGTAATGCTTTTGAAATGTTGGAGCGTGAATTCATCAGTTGATTCAAATTAAATCGGTTTGCTTCAATGAATTGAAACCTTTTCTGAAGGCAACTGCCAATGGATATTCTCTGCAAAAGCAGGTTTGTTTTTACTTCAGATTATGAAAACTGAAATACATCTGGAAATGTTTCCGAATCAAAGACTATGCTTAAATGACCTATTTGAGAATATTATATATTTTTATACGTAAACACACAAATTTTTAATGTTATTGTATCAGGATTCTTTCTTTTTCATCCCGTTTTTTTTTTTTTCGTAGTAATGATCGAAATCGTTAATTACTGCGAATTTTGGAATGCAGTAATAATATCACCATTAATTTATTGTTTTAATTACTCTAAAACGTAATCTCGGAGAAATTGTTTTTCTAACAGAAATTATGCATATGCCTGTCTTTGAGATATATATATATATATTTGGGATTAGTTTTTTGGAATATTATATATTTTTTTCATGGTTTTAGATACGTGCATTTAATTTACATATGCTCTCAGAATTTCAGTGATATAGTAAATTAGTTTGCAGCAATAATTAATCTTTGATATGTATGCAATTAAAATTTCATAATTTAAATTAACTTTATATGAATAGAGAATATTTGTTAAATTCAAATTTCATTCTTTGCAGCAATGGCACATGAGAATTATTTAAATTTAACTTTACTTTTTATTCTTATGAAACAATATATATATATATATTCTGTAACTGTAGGGGAAAAAAGCATGAATTTTTCTCAGCTGTTTAAACAGTTCCCATGTGTAAAATAGTATTTCATCCCCCAAAATATTAGTTAATTTTCTCCTAATGTATAATGTCTTGCCTGTTCGTACAGTGTGATTAATGTCATGGTAATTTTGGATACTTTCTATAGATCTTGCATAATAACTACACATGTAAGTTATATACACATTCGTAAATCTCTTATGATATGAAAAGTTATTGCAGACTTTCACATAACTATTAATAACTTGATATTCTCGATAACAGGTGACTTACTTACTTACTTCCGTAGACCATGATCAGAATTAAATAAACTTATAAGGTTATCATACTAAATTACACGAAAAGCAGCATGACATAAATAAATACAAAGAAATTAAATGTATTTACTGTACTAATAGATTATTATATTACATGACATTGGTTTTGCCCATGTATAATGGGAATGAAAGCCAGTTTTCCATAGAAAGTCCTCTACAGAGGCATCTGTTTTCTTAAGCAGATTGCTTTTACCACATTTCAGTGACCTTGATTTAAGTATGAAACTGGATAATATTTTCTTTCTGCATGAAATGTGTTAACTGAGTTTTAGAAATATAAGCCATCTTGCAGTTACTGTGATAATACTAATTTTTGGTACCTCCATATTATACCATCAACCATGAAAGTTGTGCTAATTACTGCTGTGGAATTCTGAGCCAGACATTTGTATACAGCAGTTACAACAAACCATACATCAGTCTCTCTGCAGAATACATGAAATAACCCTGCTGTGAAAGTATTGGACCCACTTCGTGAAAAAACATTCGTTCATTACTACTGTTTTATTTGCGGTCAAATTTTACCAAAAGCTCATTTTAGAATGCTATGAATACAAGTTGTCCACAGGTAATTGTTCCAATTTCTTACTGTTTTGTTCGCTATTTCCACATACAGTAGATGTTAATTCTTTCGACCAGCTGTAAAAGAACTGGAGTGCAATCACAAATGTGATTCTACCTAGCTTACCAAGAATTATTTTGGGTTACATACAAATGAAACCGCAGATGTTGCGAGTGTGGTGATATTAATTTTTGTTTTGTCTTCATTAACCGGAAAAATAAATTTTCCATTAATGGTGAAAAGGTAAGAAATATATGATAATAAGTATAATATTATAGTCATTTCAAATTACTGCAAGAATGTTTCATTATTATTCAAATAATAATAACAAAAAGCTATCTATACTATAATTATAGTGAAGTATAGATATTAAATAATACAAAATATTAAATAAATTTTAGAATCACCTATTTACTATAATTACTACAATTTAATGAAAAAAGGGTAGCTGTAATTTTTTTTTTTTTTTTTTTTTTGTGTGTGTGTGTTTGTTTTAACGTTTTTATTGCATATTTTTTAATAATGAAAAAACAGTGACATATTTTTGTTAAAAATGGAAAGTAAACTCCTTAAAAAGACTGATTTATTAATATGTCAACTATATTTAATGTTAAAAATCTGTGTATTAAAATTTCAGATGAAACTTTCTTTTGACTTAGGATTTATGTTTTTCTAGGTATGGAATGCTGGTCTGAGGGTTCTCTATGCTATAGGACAATGGCCAGGCAATACTCATGATGCATTTATATGGAGTGGACTGAAACAAAATCTAGATAGTATTTTGTCGCATCGTGCATATCTTTGGGAGATAGTGGATTATATTCCCATTTTATCACGGGAATATCTCTATAATGAGAAGCACAGAAAAGTTCGTGCAGCTATAGAGATCAAATCAAGATTTAGGGTACTGCACGATACTGGTGGAACACTATTGTATTCACAAAGCAAAATATGTAAAATGGTCATATCTGGTGGCCATTTTACATAATATATGCTTAAGGTATTGTGTTGAAAATCCTGAGATTGATGTGTTTGAAGATGATGAGTTGGTACCTTCAGAAAGTTTTCAGTCAGTGCATGTTGAAATTGCATTGCACAATGAATTATCTTTAAATTTTGAAACTCGATAATAAAAACCCAAAGTGGGCAACAATGAACCTCTGGCAAAGGTGAAACCCCCTTCATGGATAATAAAGAATATATTATGAAAAAAATTACTTTCATAATATATTCTTGGGGACCCACAAGCCATGGTTTATATTTAAACCTGTAACTAAATTGCACAACCCTAAATGATTTTAATTGATAATAATAATCCTAAATAATTTTTTAGTCCTGGTTTCAAATGCATACTGACAACTTTTATCATTATTGTTCTTCCCTCTGAATTTCTTGTTTCCATCATTTATGTTAAAAAACTCTTGACTACCAGAAATAACTTAATAGGCTTGATATATATATATTTTAGTGTTGGTATGCCAGTCATGATTTACAATAGTAAGTCACTATAAATTAGCATTGCACTTAATTTATCTTAAACTTAGCAATAAGATTTACTGCACCGAAATTCAGTTTCTTCCAAAAAGTCAAATGTTTCCCTTTCGTCCCCTTCCGTGGGACAATACACATTTAATAGCATAAGAACTTCATGCTTATTTATTATAGTATAAATTAAAACTGACATATTCTGTCAAAGATATTTAAATGTATTTCCTAAAAACAATTATTTCACTCTATACTGTTTATGTCTTCTTGGGGGTGGGCAAAACAAATATTGGACAGTTCAATTTTCCTCCACCATTCCTGTGAGCGTATTCTTCGATTAAGCAGGGTTTTGCTCCAATTCCTGATTAGCATAATATGTAAAGAATAAACAGCCTATGATTTATGCCTCCATATCCTCTTGTATTATTTAAAGAACATACATTTTTCCTTTTAATTCTAGATTTTAAAACATTAAAGTAAGGGAAAGATTGTTTGCTGAATTTAGATTTATATCATCATTACGCATTCACTATAATAACTTACTGCATACTTACCTCAGTGGGTTTGCCATTAAAAGAAATACATTTAAGTAAAATCATGAGTGTATAATAAATTGTTTTTCAGCCAAAAAAAGAGAAGGGGGAAAATAAATACAGTTTGATTCACTTAATTTTTAGTACGCGACTCAACATTGTTATTGTAAACTAGACATTAGCCATACTTTAATAGTTGTCATCTCTGTATTTTTAGAACTTCGAAATTAGAATGTCAATTTTATCTGCCATTGTTATGGAGCTGTAGGATATCGAATGTTATTTCTTCAATGATAAAAAGAAATGAAATTTTTAATACCACATCTCATTCATATAACTTATTAACATAATTGAAAAACAATTTAATTCATTTCGTGTTATATCTGAAAATTAAAATTTGTAATACATTGACTAAAGATTCTTACAGGTCTTATTCCCATTTTCCTCCAGGAAAAAGATAATTGCTGTGTAAAATGCATAAATATTTTCACGAGACTTATAATAGTGGTATTAGAATTATTATAATGTTTATGTCATATAATGGATCTGTGAATTTCTTTTATATCTGAAAATTAAAATTTGTAATATATTGACTAAAGATTCTTACAGGTCTTATTCCCATTTTCCTCCAGGAAAAAGATAATTGCTGTGTAAAATGCATGAATATTTTCACGAGACTTATAATAAGTGGTATTAGAATTATTATAATGTTTATGTCATATAATGGATCTGTGAATTTCTTTTAAATAATTTTTATAATCACAAAATTTTATAAAATTAAGAAAGTAGTAAATTTTACAATTAAAATATGAATCCCACACTGCAGAAATACATACAAGAATGAAAACACTGTAATATTTGAAATGCATGATTTATTTTTTAATAAATTAATAATTATATTTTGATTTTCTATGACAGCAGACTGATTTGCAACTGATTGCTTATACAAGTCACATATTTCACACAGTACATTAATATATTCTTCTGCGTTTTCAATTATTTCCTTTTCTGCAGCTGTAATATCATCTCTCTTCCTTTTTCTCTTCGGTCTCCTGCTTCAAATAGTTGAGCTTCTATCTGAGGGAAAATTTTAAAATATTCATTCAAATTCAAATATTCTTAATTTTTATATTTCATAATGTAAAACACTTTTTATAATTAATTAAACAATGAAACTTCTCTAAAAAGGAACAATTCATAATATTGATTTCTTTAACTTTCAATTTTTTTCCCTTTATAATTTTTAAGACTGTTTATAGATCAAGAGGATTTAATGATTATTATTTTAAATTCTTAAAATCTTGTTCTTAATAAAAGACATACTCTGTATATAATGTTCGCAATAAAGAATTGAAATAACTCTTTTGTATGAGAAATATTAATTTACATCTGTTATAATTAATTTATACCAGCGGTTCTCAGCCGGTGGTATGCAAAGAAACAAAATATTTTTAACTATGAAATTCAAAAATCTCATAAAGAAAAGAATAGTTAATAAAAATTTCCTTCGATCGAAATTGACTTGAAGATTTGGAAAATGACACACTTGTTAACTTTTGGCTGAACCGAAAAAAAGAATTTAAAGGCATTTCAAATAAAGCTATCAAATTTGTATTGTCTTTTCGCACAACCTGTTTGTGTGAAAAATGATTTTTTCCATGTTAAATTTGAAATATAAATACTCACCAAAATAAAAAGTGGATCCTAATTTACCATTAAATGAAATAAGAGCAGACATAAAGAAATTAAATATTAAAGTATTATAACTGAAATTTTTGATAAATCAAGTGAATAATTTAATTAAATTTAATTTTGATAATTAAGTAATCATCAGTTTTTTTTTTAATCTAATAGTTTTTATGTGTACATATTTAATACAAAGAGTGTGCAAATGGCAATATATATATATATATATATATATATATATGTTTTTAATATTTCTATTGAGGAATTGAAAAATAATCATTGTAAAATTAGTGGTAGTATTAATGTGTTTTTCAGTTTTTGCTTAGATGGTACACTATAGTCAAAAGGTTTGAAAACCGCATGATTTATACCATTAAGTTTTTCTGTTGGGAGGAAAAGGAAAAGAAGAATCCAGAAAACATTAGATTTTATGTAATAGATACAAACTTGTCATTCCTAAATGCCATTGCAGATTTCCTCGTGATAAAGGTGTGGAATTTTCTAATGTAAAAAAGAAAAAAGCATAAAATAAAATAAGCACAATTTACTCAACAATCTTGACTGAAATATACATGCTTTCAGAGATAGCATAAAAGCAAGAAAAGTTTACTCAACAATCTTGATTGAAATATACATGCTTTCAGAAATAATATACAAAGCATACTGCATAATCAAAGTTATGAGTTTATATACTATGAGATACTATACATGTTTATAATATACCACGTTCCTGTACACCTAACACCTCGTCCACAATTTTCTATACAATTCATTAAAGATAGTTCCTGAAACATAACTGACTTAAGAAAAACATGCATACTTCTAATTTATGCATAATAATTTGACAAACATTGATTTCAGGTAAAGAGCTACATGTATTACATCAAAGAAAGAATGAATAAGTGTAATTTGCCTTTATCCTACAAATACTTAAAAACATTTACATTAAAAAAAATGAATTATACATAATGGTAGCAAATTTTTAATGAAAAACAAAACAAGAGTTGAAAACTTAATGCAGTTTTTGCCAATATTTTACTCTCTTAAAATTTATATAAATGTATAGAAACTTGAAATGCATACCGCATTTGGCTGGAAAACTTGTGGTATTGTGCTAACTCTAGGAAAAGGGGAAAAAGTATACAATGAAGCAATCATAAGAATAAAAGATATTTGCATATTATTGAAACCACCTTAATAAAAGTTACCAAATTTTCAAAAATGTGCCAAACTCTGGCAACGATTATGTATCAAAATTTTTTCAGGTAACATGCTCATGAAAATTTTTCATTCAAGCAATGTCACCATTTTCATATGTGTTTCTTATGTTGTATTTCAAGTTCCAATGGATTTTAGATACGAATAGTTGTTTTAGATTAATTTCAGATTTAAAATACTGCTTGTGGAGCTTACCATCAAAAGACGAAGCTGTGTTAAAAGTTCTGCAGGAATAGAACATTTTAGTACAAAAATTTCTAATGGAAACAATTATGAGATGAATTTGGTACATAGACAAGGCATGCAGTATCAAGTTTATGTAATTCTCTGATTTTTTTTTAAAGTGAAAACAGATCACTTGGCACAAGTGCTAAAAAATTAGACAAAAAATTTGTGGAAAATGTATTTTTTTTTTAAACTATCATAATTTTTATTTAATAATTCAAATTAGTATTTTAAAATTTGTTAAATGTTTTTTCCTTTGATATGTTAACATTTTGCCAACTTAGATAAATATTGATAGTTTGGTTATGCTAAAAGCAAGCTGCAAAAACAACGTACTTCTCCTGATAAGTATTTTTCTCTTTTCATTTATAAAGACCACCAAACTGATCCAGGTGTTTGTGTTAATACGTAAGTACCAAAAAATATTGAAGAATGCACAATGAAAATGGAAAAGAGTCTTTTACCATGCAACCAGTATGGTAAAAGATATAATTAATATATGCAATGAAAGAAATCTTATTAAAAGACGACTTTCATTATCAGCAGAGAAGCATAACACAGTTACAGTAAAGAAATCAAGCTTTTGTTTCTGCACTTGTAGCTTTTAATAGCCAAAAATTGTTTTTTTGAAATTTTATGAAATAAATAAATCTGAACATAACTGATATCAAATGAGAATGGGTCCAAACTTTCACTTAAGAAGCAGAAAGTGTACTGTAAATGCACAATATAATGAGCAGAACACAAAGCATAATTTATAAATTAACCTTTACTCTGGATGTATATATTACATTAATATCACATTAGAATTATCAGGGTTTCATATAATTTTTTATTTATTGTATTACATTGAAAATTTCATTTTTATCATTTTTCCAACTTATTTCCCCAACCGTACAATATAAATCTAAAATTGCTCTTAACTGTTTCATCACATAATGAATGTCTATCTAAGGGAAGGAATGCATCTGCATGGAATGATTCTCTAAGGAAAACTTAGTATTCATGTTATACATTGAAAAATGAAGAAAACACTCATGCAGCCAGCTTTTTCACGTGGATTTTAAAGAGAGACTGGGATAGCGGTGTTCAGCAGGCTTATCTGCTTGTAGATAGATGGGCTTATTAATTAACTATATAATTCAAGAACTAGTTAATTTTCATATGGTAAACATGCCTACTGTCACTGAAGAATCATGCATCTGCATTAAACAATAAAAATATAACACAAATTTGAATTTTAAATTAAACTTACTATTAGAAGAATTAAAACCAAATGCTGTAATTTGAAAATGGGAAAAAAATGTGGTTTATATTTTGAAAAAGCAAGGATTTTTGTCTGAAAAGTAAAATATATTTTACACACACCTGTTGCTCTAGATTACTTTGGAGGGAATTTTCTATAGGATAAAGTAAATAAAGTTGTACACATTAAATACATGTTGTACACATTCGTTTTCAGGTCTGGAACAATTCGTTACACCACACTACAACGTAGTAAACACTTGACCATAAGCTTAGAGAAATCATGGAAACTGATGTTTTTTGTTTACATCGACACGCAGTCTCATTGGATATTGATGTAGTTTATCGGACAAGCTCTCCTGGCACGAGAGCAAACCAGCTCCCCATTGCAATTTTGACGTCATCAGTTACCAGAGCGGTAAAGCGTTGCACTTGAATTCGACTTTAGCAGACGATAGCAGGAACGCCTCTTGCGAGCTAACATTTGCAATTTATCAGAGCGTTGCACTTGAATTCGCCCCTTAATATGAAATAGCAACTTTAGAATCGGTAATAACTTCAACTTTTTTTACACACCAGATCACAATCAAAATGATTGTACTGGGTATGAATATCTAGTTTTAGTTGATGTTAATCAAGTTAGTATTAATGTTTTAAAAGTTGATGAGGGAATGCAGTTTCCTTAATACATTATCAACATCATAAATATTCTTTCTAGGTATGTGTTTATTATTGTAAAAAAAGGAGTTCCTATGATTAAGTATGTTGAATTTCAGTTGTATTGAGTTGTTTTACTTCTAGTAATTTTATCTTCTTCGATGCACTTTTTAATTCCTGTGTTTTGTTCTAAAAGCTTGATTTTCGTTAGCAATTAGAGGATTGTTTGTAACACTTTAGATTTTGTTTCTTGATGTGTTGTCGCCTTTTAACTGAGGATTTGCTTATTGTGTAGTAAACGTTGTTTATTTCATATCTCATTTCGTAACATATTAGTTTTATTAATCTATAAATAGTAATAAATATATATCATCGAATATTCTCCCCTTTTCTTATTTTACCAGTTTTATCGTCCGAAAATCTAGAGGGAAAAATTATGCCCACGATTTAATTTTCGAAAGATGCTATTGAAGTAAGAACAGAATAAAAAGTCCGAAATGGTAACCACCAGTCAAGGAGTAAATAAATAAAATAGCGAGTGGGGTGTCAGACAAATTCATGTAGTTCCTTTTTCTGTTATGTCATACACAGTTGACATTCCAATGCAATACTCTTCACATAATGGATATACCTATATCCATTTTTTGCAGCAATTCCACTTTTTGTTTAATGGACTTCAAAACATGCTTTCACTTTGTAGATACTGTTGTAGCTCCAGAATTAGAAACTCATTTCGACATAATCGAAATTTTAAACTTTAATTTTCAGAAAATTGCTATAATAATAACATTCACCAAAAAATAATAAGCTGGATCAAATCAGAAAGTTAAGGAACAGGGTAATCTGCTATATCAACTGAAATTCCTTGGAATCAGTAAAGTATAATTTCAGCCTAGTTTAATAACGTCCGCTGTAAAAGTATACAATTGGTGCCCCTTGTTTTTTGGCGATTCTTTTTTGATGCCACGATCAGCACCTGGAAGGCATAATTTCAAGATGGCCGCTACATGAAACTAAAATAAGAAGTCAAAAATTGCACAAGCTCTGTGTTCATGTACACATCAATGTGTTTTCACTTAAAAAAAAAATCTAGATTGATCCTTAGATTATGGTAACTTGGCGATTTTTTGGCAAAAACTTCGCGACCAACTCTTCTACAGCAACCCTCTATTTTTTTCCCCCCGCCGCCATTTTGTCTTTACTTCGTGAAGACATGTTCTTTTCTTTTTATCTTCTGAACACTTCTTCCAACAATCTACTAGCCAAATGACACTTATGCTAGAAATTTTATCTAACAAAACTGCTTAATCATGACAAATATTCACTGCAAAATTGGGAAAAAGTGCACAATACCATACCCTTACGCGTTTTTCAAAATAACACATACACAGAAACCATGTACACGTCGACTTATTTTTACTTAAAAAAACATCCCAGAATTACACAAAAATGGCATTGTGCACACTCTTCACTATATCCATGTACACTGCTTTTTTCTCATAAATTGGAAAAATTTCACGAAAATACATGACAATTTTCTGAATCTTTAAACCCGGTAAAAAGAACATATATGAAATTACCTGATCGCGAAAAAGTATATGCCTTTTCCAAATATGAACATTTCCACATATAAAATAAATAAAATATCCAAAAACTTTTACCTCTAAATCATCTATTATATTAGAAACGTCACCAACGAATTCATACCGCAAGCATTACAAATACTTAGTGTCAAATATTTAAATTATTTCCATGCACGTTTACTTCAACTAAAACGTATACCAAATTCCTACAAACATAAAATTCACAAAATAACTGTCATTTAATTAAAATATCAATAAACCATGTACACGTCGACTTATTTTTACTTAAAAAAAAATCCCAGAATTGCACAAAAATGGCATTGCGCACACTCTTCACCATATCCATGTACACTGCTTTTTTCTCATAAATTAGAAAAATTTCAAGAAAATGCATGACAATTTTCTGAATCTTCAAACTCATTAAAAAGAACATATATGAAATTACCTAATAACGAAAAAGTATATTATACCCTTTCCAAATATGAACATTTCCATATATAAAATAAATAAAATATCCAAAAACTTTTACCTCTAAATTATCTATTATATTATAAACGTCGCCAACGAATTCATATCGCAAACTTTACAAATACTTAGTGTCAAATATTTAAATTATTTCCATGCACGTTTACTTCAACTAAAACGTATACCAAATTCCTACAAACATAAAATTCACAAAATAACTGTCATTTAATTAAAATATAATTAAATTCAAAAACACTACTTAAAATATAAATAAGCACATACATTAAATTAATAAAAATTACCTTACAATCCTAATTACTTTAAACTAAATCATTGCTAATAACAATTTTCCCAATAATACCAAATTACTTTACTTCCACCTTACATTTAGAACAATGCATAAAAATAATATCCTCAAATAATTAAAATACTAACTTACCTAACCTAATCTTCTTCAAAATCTTGAGTGTACATGGTGGATAAACTTTTATTATGGATTCAATAAAATTATTGAACGATTTTTTCTGCGAATTTTTGCCTCCACACTTCCTCCGCTAAATAAAAAGCAAAATTCTGCTTATCACAGTGCCTCGGAATTGGCGCTTTTTGTAGCACCTCCATGTGCCCTCTATCGTATTGGTATGTGCACCTGTTTCCGAGGATCTTTAAAATGATATTTGTGGTTGATAGCAAGATGTTTAAAACCTTCATCCTTCCAAACATTCATATGATTTCCAGCAATCTGATATTAATTATTAGTACCAGGTAAGAATATACTGCTTTTATGAAACTTAATAAGCAATCTTTACTTCTTCGATCTGGCACAACCTTGAAAAAATACATTTATTACTTTCCCTTTCAATCCCACCAAACACCCATTTTCCTCCACTCTCCTACCTCTCTCATACTTCCGCTTCCCAAACTTACTCTCATCAATTTCCACAATAACATTCATACCACCAAGCATACCCATATCATTTTCGCAAAATTCTACGCACACTTCCCTACGAAAAGAATTCCAATCAGCTGCAGTCCTACTGCTAATTTCTAAATCCGAAATCCAATAGTCAACTGGCAATCTATTCACCCAATAATAAGAAATCAATAAAATCTCACCCATACTCAAACGACTTTCAGCAAACCACGTACCCTTCCTTACACTCCGTTTCACAAAATGTTCATTTTCACCAGATTTCTTGCACCGCCATTCAAACTTATCAGTAATATCCTTCCTTTGACTCAATCTCATTTCATTCCCACATTTTGGACATTCATACTTATCCGCAATTAAACCTGCACTCATGCACCATTCAACCAAATTCTTTTGAATTATCTCACAAACACATTAAAAATCTAGAATTCACTTTAAACAGTGCCATACAATCCCAAAATTATTTAACCCTACTTCACACAACAAAATACAAAATAATATACAGCCACAGATATTTTTCCAAAATCCCCCCTTTTCCGATTAAAGAACCGTAATTCGTCCATTATATCACATGACATATCCCACGATCTCTCATTTCCCTCACACAAAATAATGTGTAATCGGAACTGAGTACTGCTCACATTATTACCAAAGTCCCAGGTCGCCTCCAAAATGTCGCCAAACTACCAGTTACCATATTCTAAAGATCAGCCAAAATCTAGAAATGCATAAACTAGGCATTGCGCACTGCCTTAAATCTGTCCATGTACACATCAATCTATTTTCATTTAAATAAAATCAAGAAGCTAAAACAAAGTAAAAATTATCAGGGTAACCAAAAGTGAGGTTTCATCGCCAAAATTAAAAAAAAAACATTGCCGCTAATCGAAGAGGCATCAAATTCTACACTAGAGCCACGTCCGCTTTACGTTATAGGCTATGTATCATAAGATTGTTGATGATAGACAAATTCTCCCGCTAAATTTTGTCTTGCTTCTATCGTGCATTGGAGCAGTAAGTTTTGAATTATATTAATTCAGTTATTATACTTACATCTAACTTTTGCACATGCTTAATGCTTATCTGAGTCATGAATGAATAAACTTGCACATGTACCAAGAGCTTACCGCCTGATGGGTAAGGGCTCCTAAATTCTACTACCCATTACCTTCTTAAGTCCTAAATTTTTGAAAATTTTAAAACTAAACTAAAAGTAATAACTGGTTATAAATTGCTTTAAGCATGTGCCACAGCAAAATGTATCCATGTCATATGATTCTTGCATAATGCTAATGACACGTAATTACAAAAAGCCTTGAGCTAATAATGACTACAGTTTGGGTATCAAAACTTTTTATTAGTCTAGGGGGTTTATGTGAACCAAAACCAAATCATTCTGAACCAAGCTTTCACCTTAGACACATTTACTCGCTCCTATTCTGGCAACCTGCTTGTTCAGCACTGTTGCATTATTTTTACTGTATTGAAATTAATTGTTAAGAAGGTGAAGAAAATACAACTGTGATTAGGAATGGACATGCAGATTGCACCCGTTACAAAATGGTCATATTAAAAACATGCTTTTCGAGAATAAAATAAAATGTTAAATTGGCATAATTGTTAATATCTGTAATAAAACTATAGTAATGGGAAAAGAATAAGATTATTTATTTTTTATTTATATATTTTATGTAATTTAATTTTTAAAATTTTTTTTTTTATGCTGTGCTGAGCATTGCAGAGGCTGAATTTGTGCAATTCTCCAATTTTGTTTTAGTGAAAACGGGTTGTTTTGTACATGGGAAGAACAAGAAGGGAAAAAGAGTTTTAAAAAGTTTTATTCCTAATTTATTAAATGTTTTATGAACAATGTTTTGGCTTTTTTAGTTTTATTAATTTATTATGCATTGGTT